CACGAAAAGAGGGGGAGAGGGAGGGAAGGAGGGAGATCTTTACGACTTTCTTCTTTAGCCCTCGACTGTTCTTGGCTATCAAGATAGAGGAAAAGGGCTTCACCCAAATCATAAGCTCCACTATCTTTGCTTCTGCATATAAATCAACGGCTATATAATTAAGCATAATAGTATCAAACTGTGCCAAAGAGGAAATAATCAAGAGAACAGTCTATGGTCTAAAATTGAGAGAGAGAGAGAGAGAGAGAGAATATTTTTTGAGAATTTCAAAAAAGAAAAAAGTGATGAGGTGGTGACTATTGCAAGAAGAAGAGAGACAAAAAAGATTACATGAAGTTGCAAGGCATGGCTGCTGATGAAGCTGATTGCATCATTCCAAAAGAAATCAGATTATTCTGATTCTGATGATAAAATTCCTGAAAATTTTGTTCTTGTTCTAAAACTGCATGTGCGTTGATGGTGTTATTGCCTTTATTTGACGCCATGAATGGAGCTTCAACAAGAAACTTGCTTTCTTGCTCTAGAGGGCTTGTATTCTCAACAATTGTACTTGAGAAAGCCATTTAATAACACTATTAATTGCACTTGAACTCCCTTCCGCCCTTTTCCTCCCCTCTATGGATAAACCCCAGATCACCATAATCAATACATACAGACAGATGTCTACAAATTTTAGAGAGAGAAGATAGAGAAAGAAACTCAGTCGGTTACGGTATAACAATATGGCAGAGTCTTGACAAAATCTATTTTTAGTTTATTTTCAGCTTTTGTTCTTCTCTCCAAAAATCAGCTGATTTTATGTAGAAAATCCCTTTTTTTTTTCTTTTTTTCTTTTTTTTTTTTTCCTCTTTATGAAATCCAATTCTAACACTATTGTACTCTCTCTCTCTCTCTCTCTCTCTCTCTCTCTCTCTCACACACACACACACACAAGTATTTTCTTTTCTCTGTTTGAAACGGCTTCACTCGGGAAACCATTCAAGTCAAAGCGAGAAAAACAGGTTCCAGGGTCACTAGGAAAATCATTCCCAATTTTATTATTTTTCTTAAATCAAAGTCATGTGCAGTGGCTAGTTCTATTAATGAAGGGAAAAAAAATAAAAAATAAAAAGAATAACAACAACTAATGAATAGGGCTAGACGTAGGGGTGTCAAAAAGGCTCGGCGGCTCAGGTGACCCTGATCTGGCTCAGAAAAAACCCAAGCCTGGCCAATTCGTTGCTCGGAGCAGCTGAACCGAGGCTCAGGCCGAGCCCCATTTTGGGGACACATGTCGAGCCCCAGCAAGCCCTCGAGCCTTTAATTTAAAAAAAATGGCGAAAAAGGCAGCATTTGCTGATTTTCTGCCTTTTAAGGTAGGGGGGAAAAAATCGAGCCTACTGGACTTGTTGACATCCCTACATGACCTCCAAAAATGGAATATAAAAAAGAAATAGTACATATCGCAGACTAATGTGAGCATTGATGGGAGCTTGGAAATGAAATAACAAATTTTAGAAGAGAAATAATGTTCAAGAAAATGACTTATAAAATTGATATAATCCCTAGTCTTTTAGCGACTTCAGAAAACATGAATTTAATCTAGGGAAAATTTCATAATTAAGAGATTAAGTACGACATATTTCAAAATTAAGAAAACAAGTTTCAAACTTCAAAAAAAGAGTTTTGTTAAAATTTATTTATGATTTAATTAATTAATTAATTATATTTAGGTCACATATCTATACAATTTGATCACAAATTAACAATTTAATTAGTCACTTATTAATTTTTTTGGCCACAAATCCAAAATTTTATGTCATGAATTATTTTACGATCACAATTCAAAAATTTTGTAAATCATAGTTCGTTCATAGGTCAGAAATCAAAAAATTAATTAATCACGATTAATTTTTAATGACAACTTATCAAATTATTGATCACAATTTATTTCTTGATTACAAATCAAAATATTTTGTAAGTCACATAATATTTTTCGATCATGAATCAAAGATTTTATAGGTTACAGATCACAGATATTATAGGTCACAACTTATTAGATAGTCACTAATTATTAATTTCTTAGGTCACACAATATTTCTTGATCACAATTTATCTTTTTTATTGGTCACATATTATTTATTAGTCACAGATTAACCAATTCACTAGTCACAATCAACCAAATAATATGTGACCATCACCAACACTTACGACCACCACTTCAATGCTGCCTCCAATAGCACCACCACCACCATCAACGCTAAAACAACCACCGCATTGATCACAAATTAATCAATTTATTGGTCACAACTTTCATTCAGTCAATAAAATCATCACAAACACCTACACCCCATCCCACCACTCCAAAGCATCGAACAAGCGCCAACCACCATTTCGGCCACCAGCGACATCGCCCATTGCCACCACCATCGATATCAGCATCACTACAACACCATCACCACCACCACTTCCCAACAGTTGGTCACAAACCCCCAAATAGTTGGTCACAAACACTTTCGTACCACACCACCAACCACCCTACCACACCGCTGCCACCATCGCCAACACTACCAACCGTCGCTGCCATTGCAAACACTACCACCACCACTATCATTGTCACCTCAGTTATCATCAACCAAAAAACACCCTAAAAACCACCTCCACCACCAACCGAAAAACCACATATCCATAATCAAAACCAAAACAACTGGTTTTGAACCACAAAAGTAACCATAAAACCATAGATCCAAAACCACCACCATCACCTCAGCCATCATCAACCAATAATCACAAACAGAAAACACACCTAAACCCTAACCAGATGAAAGAATGAAGGAACCACTCAATCACTCCCCAAAAACAGTGTCTCGGCAACCTCATTTATCGCCAAAAAACATACCTAAACCCTAAGCAGCACCATCTCGCCACCACAGCCAATGTCACAACCATCACCAAGAAAGCAACGACATGGCACAGCAGCATCTTCACCGTATATAGCATCATTCATCGTTGTTGTGCAATGGCAATGGTGATGTGTTTCGAGTGGCGCAATTCCCAACCCTATTTGTTTGCCTTCTCCACTTCAGATTATGATGGTGGTGGTCGCCAGTTTTGGTAATTGCGATGGCAATGGCGATAATCATCGCGGTCAGCGATGAGAGAGAAGAGATGTAGCTAGGGAGAGATGGGTTTGGGGAAAATGGGTCGGTTGGAGAGGGTAGGGTTGGTTTATCAATTAATTTAATTTAATAATATATTTATCTAGTAATAATATATTAATTAACATAAAAAACTGATTTTTGAATTGTTAAACTTGCCATCTGATTTATAATGTTGGATTTTTTAAATATGATTTTGTGTAATTTCCACTTTAATCTAATACATGTATTAGTTACTGAATGCAAACTAATTCTAAATATTTAAAAACCTCCTTAAATTTCATTTATTGTAACTCCAATCAAATTTCAAAACTTCAAAAATGCATGTCTTCAATTTCTTGATAAAAAATTTATGGGATTAGGTCTTAGGACTTTACGAACTTCAATTACGCAAATTGTTTATCAACAAAATCTCAAACAGGATGATATTTCTTGTCAATGTGCTTGCTATGATAATGAAAATTTGGATCTTGTCCAATGACATTGCCGGCTTTTTATAAAATTTTTCGGTGGAATCACTTCATTGCAAATTAATTTCTTTTAACAAATTTCTCAACCAAATTGCTTGACTAACACATGTGCAACAAAGATATACTCTACGTCACAACTTGAAAGTGTAACAATCGCTTGCTTCTTCAATAGCCACATAAAAGTCTATTACTGATTCGATAATCATTATCTCCGATACAATCATCAATTTAGAAACCTCCAACCCTTGAGCTTATATAGTTCCCATCGCATCTTTGAATGCCAAACTAGTAGAATCCTCTACTTTATTGTCATCATTACAAATTAAATTAATGAATTTGTTATGAACATGGATCACAAGATATGACAATAATGAAATAAAACAAAAATAGATAACACCAAGATTTACGTGGAAACACAATTCGGGAAAAAAAAACATGGGCAGAGAAGGAGAAAATTCACTATAATCAATACGAATGTGTTTACAATGTCATGACTTAATACCTTCAATTGAATCTAAGCTCATAAGATGTTGTAGATTTTGTTCTCTCAAGATTTTTTCTCAAAGAACATGAAAATTCTCTTTTAGAATAAAAAGGGCAACGTTTGTATTTATAGGGACACCTAAAAACCTAATTTTAGACCAATAGGGGTCCAAAACGCGTTAAAATGCAAAAAGTCAGTAAAGATACGTCGGTCGATCGAGTGGCAGTCGAGTGAAAAGTTTCTACTTCAAGCGCTCGAGTGTCCAGCTAGTGAAAATGCGGCAACCATTGTCTTGGTCTATAAAGTTAATTTCTCCAAGACCAACTCAACTACAACTCCTAATACCCTAAGAATTTGGGTCACACTACAACAATCTCCACCCTGAACCAAATTTCATACACAAAGAATCCAAAATAAACATCTCCTAGTAAACACCACTCCACCTCTTCCAAGCCCCAATGGGCTAAATCAATGAGAAAGACCTACTAAGTTCAAGCAATACTCAAACTTAGCAATGGAAAGTGATTTTGTCATCATGTCAGCAGGATTCTCCTTGGTATCAACTTTCCTCACTACAATGTCACCACGAGCAATTACTTCACGCACAAAATGGTACCTCACATCAATGTGCTTAGTTTTCTCATGGAACATCTGATCCTTAGTAATAAATATAGTACTCTGGCTATCACAATACACTATAGATATCTGCAAGTTCTTACTGATTTCACCCATTAATCTTCTCAACCACATAGCCTCTTTACAAGCTTCAGTACTGGCCATGTACTCTGCCCCTGATGTAGACAAAGTTACTGTATTCTGCAACGTAGCTTTCCAGCTGATAGCACAGCCACCAAGGATAAACACATACCCTGTGAGTAATGTCCTTTTGTTGAGATCTCCTACATAGTCTAAATTCACATATCTTGTGATTCCTTTTGAATTTCTTCCAAAATACAAACAAGCATTTGTAGAGCCTTTCAAGTATCTAACGATCCACTGCACTACTTTCCAATGTTTCTTTCCAGAATTTTCCATGTATCTGCTAACTACACGTGCTAAATTAGGCCTTGTACAAACCATAGTATACATCGATGAACAACAGCACTAGAATATACTCAATATATTCTGACTGTAGACAGAAGTCTATTAATAATCTAATATGTGCAGCCAACGGTGTATCGAAAACCTTTGCATCTGCATATTGAATCTCTAAAATACCTTATCAATGTACCATTTCTAACTCAAGTATAATCCCTCAAGATTTCCATTCTAAGGATTTTCTTTTTTGCTCCAAAGTCCTTCATTTCGAACTCTTTACTTAGTTGAGACTTCATTTTTCTTACCTCTATTTTGTCTTTGGCTGTTATAAGCATATCATCAACATACAATAGCAAGTATGTAATCGATCCACTACTTTCCTTCCTGAAGTAAACACAATTTTCATAGTTACACCTTTCAAAACCATGAATAGTCATGAATGAATCAAACCATTTATACCGCTGCCTCAATGACTGCTTTAGTCCATATAAGGACTTTTTTAATAGGCACACATAGTCTTCTTTTCCAGAAACTATGAACCCTTTTGGTTGTTGCATGTAGATGTTATCCTCAAGTTCTCCATGCAAGAATGTTGTTTTGACATCCATCTGTTCAAGCTCCAAATCATTATTTGCCACAATCCCAAGTAAAGCCTGAATTGGACTATGCTTTACAACTAGCAAGAGCACATCTGTGAAGTC